GAGAAGTATTATAAAAACTATGTACTATATATGTGCATTTGAGCAAATTTTTATCTATAAATGACAATTTCGTACAACACTTATAAAGAGATAATTATCACAGTCGTTTATTCATATGATTGCTTAATTCGCACATTTATTTACCTCATAGTTGAGCCATACAGTCGCGTGTAAAAAAGAGAAAAATCAGAGTAGCGATGCTATCTCTCTTAAATGACTTGAATTCAAGAGAGATAGCGTCACTACTTTCATTTGTTCTTTCTCGCTACGTTCCCATTTTCACGGCTGTATCTTCCTTCCCTACTCTGTGTTTATTATCTGTATGGCATGAAATCACGAGCGATTTCCCCTCTTTTCTTACTCCCTACTCCACTACTATTCCCCTCTACAGCCGTCGTCACGTTCTCTCTCACTTTCACTATAAGGTAGATTGTCCCCACTACCGTCGTGAGTCATGAAGGATTTCGTATCCCATCACTGTGCTATACAGACCCGAGGCGCCAATTTTGGAGTTTAGTAGATTAGCGGGAGTTGCAAAGTAACGATGCACTGACCATTTGGATCGGATTACACATTGATTAGCAGTGTTCAAAGTAAGTGCAATACATAACAGTAAAACACTTATCAAAATATTAAAATAACACTTAATCTTAAATAAAATATCCTAATTTGTCAGAAGTCATCAAATGGTTGCACGAGAATTTGTTCATATCTTCCTTATATTTTTGTTATCACAGTGTACACCTGTTGCCGTTTGTATTAATATATGTATATTATTCTCAAGTATTATTTTTTACCTAAATAGTATTTTTGGTATTGTTTTACTTCGAAGCATAATATCTGTAATATAACTTTCCTAAATTCCTTGTATAATATACTGAAACTTGTCTTTGATATCGAACTCTCAGTTATGTACTTCCTTCTCGATGATTCGTGCTCATATTTTTTGTCGTCATCTTTCAGTAATTTTTGTCAAGTCACTACAGCTCAGGAATCTGATAGGTCATCTATATAAAAACTGGAGCTTCTAACGAGCATTTTATGGCCATACGTGTTATCATTCAGACTATAATCATCATCCAATGATTACTATTTAATGGCTACTTTAATAACCATTTAATCACACAGCACGCGAAGCAGTTTATATGAACAGAGTTTTATTAATATTACAACGATACGTTACATTCAATATTCCTCATATCAGCAGACGTTACGTTATCATTATCGTAGCGTGCATTGAACTTATTTAATTGCTTCAATTATTGATATCTAACAATATTGTTTATGCTATTTGTATAAGATTAGTTTTAATAGGAAGGAGCGATGGAAATCCTGGGGATAAAGTTCGCGCCGTTGAACGTTCCGCTGAAGCGAAGACTGGAAACACTCGCTGCAGCAATATGGATCTTTTCGATCGGTTTCGGAGATATTTGGGGAGTTCTTTTTACCTTCTACGCAATCTTTTACACCACCATATTACGTTATTTCATGCTACTCTATTTTATTTGGATGTATTACGATTGGGACACGGCTTACAAAGGCGGCAGGAGGTAAAACGTTTTTCGCTGGGACCATGCGAAATTCAGACTGCGACGAGATCGATGAACCAATTCGATTTCCTGGTTTCAGTATGCGATGGGTAAATCTGTTTAGGCGTATGACATGGATGCGTTACTTCAGCAACTACTTCCCTGTGAAGCTGGTGAAGACTGTCGACCTGGATCCAAATAGGAACTATCTGTTTGTCAATTTTCCGCACGGGATTCTGTGTGTGGGAATGTTCGGTGCTTTCGGGACCGACTACTCAGGCCAAAGGGATTTGTTCCCGGGCCTAGAAATCCGTGCCGTAACTCTTGATTCCCAGTTCAAGGTGCCCCTCTTTCGCGAATACGCTTATATAATCGGTACGTATGTTGCCAAACGAATATTTATAAACAATCATTATTGATCACCAATACAGAAATTCGATAGAATATAAGTAAATCTCCTAATTTCTGTATATCACAATTTCTACTCACTGCCTGTTTTTTTCTATAATTCAATATGAAACCTTCAGGTTGTGAGACGTAAGATTTCTACCAGGAGTTTAAGAAATATAATAAGAAGCGACGTCCTATGCTTGATTAAACTTTGAACACAAATGATATTTACAGAGGAGTATAGTTAATATTTTCTAATTTCTAATTAAAAATTGTAATGTTAAACGGACGAAAACGTAGGAGGTGTCAGCAGTAACGCGGAAAGTATAAGATATCAGCTATCGTCGAAGCCCGCACCGCCGTACACCGGGAAGGCAACAATTTTGGTAGTTGGCGGAGCTGCGGAATCATTGGAATGTCGACCAAATATCTATCGTATCGTGCTAAAAAGAAGGAAAGGGTTCGTGAAGCTCGCACTGCGGGAAGGGTTCGAATCATTATAATAACGTTATTCGAATTTATTATAAACGCATGTAGATTATAGATTTGATTGACGTTTCAGTGCTCCGTTGGTGCCTGTCTTTTCCTTTGGCGAGACGAATACCTACGATCAGGTCTACGGGCCGCAGGGATCGTTGTTCAGAAGAATACAAGAGTATATTCGCAGTCTAATTACTGTCGCACCTGTGATTATAAAAGGACGAGGATTTTTCCAATACAGTTTCGGTGTATTACCTCGGCGAACGCCAGTCACAGTAGTTGGTAAGAATATGAATGACAATTATATTGTACGACACGAAATTCTTTTTGTAATATCCAGAGCGATTCAGCTTTCGAATTTGTGTTCGGCACGAGGAACTCGATAAGTGTTATTTGTCTCAAATGATTTTTATTAATTAAATGCATAAATTATTCTTTCTAGTGGGCAGTCCTATAGAATTACCAAAATTAGAGGAACCGACGACAGAGCAAATCGACGAGTACCACGAGAAATTTATCAAGGAATTAGTGAACCTGTTCGAGACGAATAAACACAAGTATATCGAAAACGCTGATACGGTGCAACTGGAATTGTTGCCTTGATAAATCTCGCTAAAACTTTTGATAAACACCAGTGAATCACCAGAGTGAACAAAAAGATCTAATAAATAAGAACTCACTTGAACAGATACTAATTTAATCCAGTTGCGAGTGATTTCAATACATGGAGAAGTGAACCTCGTGCTGTTTCTTTATTTACATTGACTGGCAATTAGTAAAGGAAAATTACATTCTATGTTTTTCAACGACGTAACGTTATGTTAATTATAGTCCGGCCCGATACTTGTTTATTATCGAAGAAGTTAATAATAAGTAGACTGCGTATTACATGCATTAATGACGAAATTGTATGTACAACAAATATGAACACACTTAAGTGATTCATGAAAAATGTATAGAATACTAAAGGTAAAGTGCACATTGCAATACTTAAGAAATAAGAGAAAATTCGGAATACATTTTCTTCAACTGATACCATAAGTAGTTTATTTAGCATCAAAATCCGCAGTCTAATAGTAAGATAAGAACTCCTTAACTAACACTTGCTCAACGACAAATACGAGTTAATTAACATTTGAAATACCGACTTTCTTTTTATATACACATTTCTCTGTTATAAACTTTTAATTCTGGATTAGTAGTTCCAGAATAACATTAGATTGCCGAATATTGGGTATACATCTATTTTGCTTAAAATGAGTAAATTTTACTCAAACCAAATAGCAATCCTTTCGCAGAAATTCGACCACCGTACAGATCGTCTCTGCAGCTGGAGCTCGACCGATCGAGAAGAGGGGAGGCAAAACTAAACCGCATCTGGCAACGTCGATTTTTTATCGGGCACCTTCGCTGAAGGAAGGTAAAGCAAGATTCTAGTTGGAGAGAGAGACTCATTGATTCAACCACACGTACGCACACCGTTGAATGTGTGAGTCACCGGCATTGAGTACACTTCTACTTATACGAGCGCAGACTCTTTCCTGTCTGTCTGCTTCGCGCGACTCAACGCCAAGCGCCGAAGAGTCAGTGTGCAACGTGCCGCCGACTCGTTCATTTCAACGAACAAGTCGTTCGTGGTCGCCCTGACTGAGAAACTAGAAAGGTGACCCAGCTCGAGGACACGATCCGAACGACGGGTTAGAAACTGAGATTCTCCGGTTTCTATAAATGGAAGAAGTCTTCTTCGTGGCCGCAGGTAAAGCGTCAACGGTGTCTCTATATTCGATTTTTCGTTGAATTCCCTCTTTCATTTTCTACTTCGATTCACGTGCTCGTCTTAACTGGATGTCATCCAAAACGAAAATTCAAATACCTGCCTGCGAATCGTGAAACGTAATCGCTAAAATTATTTTCGCTAGCTTTTCGATCGAATCAGTTTCATTTCGTCAGATTATATGCAGTTTTTGCAGTTTGGAAAATATTCCAGGGACCAGAATGGAAATTAATTTTGTTGCTCTAACTCTAGAAATATAATAAATCAACGTCACATTCGTTACAAGTGGCAATTATGCAGTTTTGATAAGAAATCGAGTCAATAGTCGGAAATCAAATAAAAATTTAAACCTTATCTTATAAATGTACGATAAATGATAAACATGCTTTCTTGATCGATAAACGTGTTTCCATGTTTTGAAACTATGGCGGTGTGTGATTAGGAATTGATATCATAGTTCACGGCGGATTTGCGTTCGAGGATAATGGTATTATTAACGGCATAGCGATTGGAGGAAAGTCGCCGATGACGTTGATTAAGGTGACGCTTTTGATTGATTTTGGTGTTCTAAATTAGAAGCACGGTGGGTGTCGGTGGAAACTTTCCTGCGGCCAGTTTCCGCGCGACCGGATCACATCGTTTGACAAAGACTTCGTCCCATAACGATTCTAATTACATCCTCATTTTCGTGCAACCTAGGGCTCAAGTACGAAGCACACTTTGGATTCAAACCATGGAATCGCTTCACACCCCTTTTTATTAATACACCCGCCCCTTCTTTCTCGAATGTTTAATGAAGCCGTCAAAAGTCCCTGAAGCAAGAATTTCTGCAAAGCAAGCAGCACTCGAGACTCTCATTGATGCTAGCTCCGATTACGAAAAGTGAGTTGACGACTTTACCGGGGCGTAACATTCGAAAATTACATTTTTACGCGTCTTCTACAAGAAGTCTACACAGAGTCTCACCTTGCTCTCTTTAATGCTGTGTATTATAGATTCGTCGGTGTCGAAACGAGTCGGTAAATTTCAATTGCAAACGAGACATAGTAGTTCGTATGGGACCAGATAAGACTTGACAGAATAAATTAACGATGCACCGACAAAAATAATTAAATTCCTTATCGAATGCTCCTTGACTTCTCGTCAGGAAAGGATATTATATCGTTACTAAGTCTTTTACTAGACTTAGTGAATTCACAAATAACAGAACTTTTGACCTTTATTGCAATTATAATAATGAATTCCTGAGTTTTGAAAATGAATAACTGTGTAACCAGTTTTGTTTTAATATTCTCAATGATTCTAAATCTATTAAACTTTTAAACTCGATTAAATAGATAAATATTTACCGTGTTCACCTCGACAACTTTCAAATGAAAGGAAAAAAATTGCGCAATTT